AGCCGCTCCCCGGGAGAAAGATGAGGCTTTCTACTCCCGTAAAGATTTACACCCTCGGAAACCCTGTACAGGGTCGCTATGGGTGGAACCGACTCGACGGCACTTAACAACAACAACAACAACAATATATATCATGTAAGATGATGTCTTCCTCTAGTTAAGAAAAAAAAAAAAGGACATTGACACAGAACTTTTGGAGGTGCAAGCTAAATTCAGAAGGGGATGTGGAAAAAGGGGTATCATTACTAATATCAGATAGATCTTAGCTGAAAGCAGAGAATACCAGAAAGATGTTTGTTGTTGTTACGTGCTGTGGAGTCTGTTCCAACTCACAGCGACCCTGTATAGGGTTTTCGAAGCTGTAAATCTTTACGGGAGTAGAAAGCCTCATCTTTCTCCCGCAGAACAGCTGGTAGGTTTGAACTGCTGACCTTAAGGGTTGCAGCCTGATTCATAACCACTACGCTACCAGAACTCCTTAGAATGATGTTTTACTTATGCTTTATTGACTACACAAAGGCTTTGTGGTTGTGTGGATCATGAAAAGCTATGGACAACATTGTGGAGAATGAGTATTTCAGAACACTTTATTGTACTCATGAGGAACCTGTACATAGACCAAGAGGCAGTTGTTTGAACAGAACAAGGGAACACTGAATGGTTTAAAATCAGGAAGGTTGTGTGCCCCGGTTGTATTCTTTCACCACATTTATTCAATTTGTATGCTGAGCAAATAATCTGAGAAACTGGATTCAATGAACAAAAAATGGCATCAGGATTAGAGAAAGACTTACTAACAATCTGTGATACAAAGATGATACTACCTTGCTTGATGAAAGCGACAAGGACTTAACATACTTACTGATGAAGATCAAAGACCACAGCCTCCAGTATGAGTTACATCAAAAAGTAAAAGAAAAAAAAAAAAAAATCCTCACCACCGGACTAAGAAATAACACCATATAAATGGAGAAAAGATTAAAGTTTTCAAAGACTTCATTTTATTTGGATTAACCATCAACACTCATGGAAGCAGCAGTCAAGAACAAACAACATACTGCATTAGGCAAATCTGCTGCAGAAGACCTCTGACTCTGGCCCAGAGTCAGTGACAAAGCCACAGAGGACTAGAGTGGAGAGTGAAGCATCCAGCTGATAAGAAGAGATGGCATATATGCACAAGAACACCCACACTAGCAGA